ACTATTCACGATAGTAAAACAGTGGGAGCTATCCGAAATAGAAGCTATGGCAACGAAATTTGATTTTGAAAAGTTCAATGGGAGAAATTTATCATTGTAGAAATTAAAGATAAAGACCATCTTGAGGAAAGACGGGTGTCTAGCGGCTATCAGTGAAAGGTCGGTGGATTTCACAGATGACAGCAAATGGAACGAGATGGACGGGAATGCTATGACAAACTTTCATCTAACATTAGCAGATGAAGTATTGTCAAGCATCGAGGAGAAGAATACAACTAAGGAGATATGGGATCATCTCACCAAATTGTACGAGGCCACATCGTTGTACAATAAAATTTTTCTTAAAAGGAAATTGTACACTCTCCGGATGCCAGAATCTACTTCAGTGGCGGAGCACTTAAACACACTAAACACGTTATTTTCTCAGCTTACATCTTTAAGATGTACAATAGGAGAACAAGAACGTGCTGAACTTCTACTTCAAAATCTACCTGATTCGTATGATCAACTCATCATCAACTTGACAAACAGTAATGTCACCAGTCTAGTCTTCGATGACGTTGCAGCTACTGTTCTCCAAGAAGAAAATCGGCGCAAAAACAAGACAGACAAGTAAATCTGCAACAAGCAGAAGCGTTGACAATGATGAGAGGGAGATCAACAGAACGTGGCCAAAGCAGCAGTCACAAACATGGTAGATCGAAATCAAGAAGCAAGAAGAATTTAAAGTGCTATAATTGTGGAAAGAAAGGACACTTGAAGAAGGATTGTTGGAGTCTAAATAAAAACTCTAATCCACAAGGCAATACCGCAAACACTTCAGATGATGGAGATGCTCTATATTGTGAAGCGTCAACCACCGTATAAGGTAGAAAAAGATATGCATATATATGGCTCATTGATTCAGAAGCAACATATCACATGACCTCAAGAAGAGAATGGTTTCATCATTATGAACCTGTCTTAGGAGGATCTGTGTATAGTTGCAATGATCATGTCTTAGAGATCATTGGCGTGAGAACCATCAAATTGAAGATGTATGATAGAACAATTAAAGTTGTTCGAGATGTGCAGCACATAAAAGGCCTGAAGAAAAATTTATTATCCTACAGATTGTTGGATAATAATGCAAGCAAGATTGAAACATGGAAAGGAATCATAAAGGTGTTCCGTGGAGCGCTTATGATACTAAAAGGCGAAAAAATAGCAGCAAATTTGTACATGCTGAAGGGAGAGACTTTGCTAGAAGCAGAAGCCTATGTTTCCTCATGTAGTTCAGATTCTGCAATGCTATAGCATCATAAACTTGGACACATGTCAGAACAAGGAATGAAAGTTCTTGTGGAGCAAAAGCTACTTCCAGACTTAACAAATGTATCACTTCCTTTGTGTGAGCATTGCATAACAAGTAAGCAACACCGGTTGAAATTCAACACATCAAATTCTAGAGGCAAAAGTGTTCTAGAATTGGTTCACTCTGACGTATGGAAAGCACCAGTTACATCCCTAGACAGAGCAAAATACTTTGTCTCATTTATTGATGATTACTCCAGGAGATGTTGGGTGTACCCTATTAAGAAGAAGTCAGATGTGTTTTCAACTTTCAAAAACTTCAAAGCGCGGGTGGAACTTGATTCTGGAAATAAGATCAAGTGTTTCAGAACAGATAATGGAGGAGAATACACAAGCGAAGAATTTGATGACTTTTGCAGGAAAGAAGGCATCAAAAGACAGTTCACAGTGGCTAACACTCCTCAACAAAATGGAGTGACAGAGTGGATGAACAAAACCTTGTTAGAAAGAACAAGAGCAATGTTGAGGGATGCAGGCCTAGAAAAATCTTTCTGGGCAAAAGCAGTCAATATCGCCTGTTATTTGGTGAATCGGGCTCCATCAACTGCAATAGAGCTGAAGACATCAATGGAGATGTGGACTGGTAAACCAGCTGATTATTCAAACCTCCATGCATTTGGAAGTATTGTGTACGTGATGTACAACTCCCAAGAAATCTCAAAGCTGGATCCAAAATCCAGGAAATGCAAATTCTTGGGGTATGTTGATAGAGTTAAGGGGTATCGCTTGTGGGATCTCACTGCCCGCAAAGTGATCATCAGCAGGGATGTTATCTTTATAGAAGATAAACTACAAAGAAAAGAAGACGATAATAGCGCTGAAAAGTCAAAGACTACACAGAAACATGTGGAAAAGGAGGTTGAACAAGGAGATTCTTCAGAAGCAGAACCAGCACATGATGAACAAGAATCAGAGAGTTCTGAAGCTCCAACAACTCGTCAATCAGATCGTGTGAGAAGATGTCCCAATTGGCACTCAGATTATGTTATAGAACGAAATACTGCATACTTTCTTTTAACAGAGGACAGTGAGCCATCAATATACCAAGAGGCAATAAATAACTCAGATGCTTCATTATGGATGATGGCGATGCAAGAAGAAATTAAAGCCCTTCATAAAAATAATACATGGGACCTTGTGCCACTACCACTAAGAAGGAAGTCAATTGGTAACAAATGAGTCTTCAAAATCAAGCGAAATAGTGACGATCAAGTTGAGAGGTATCGTGCAAGACTGGTGGTCAAAGGATATGCTCAAAAAGAAGGTATTGATTTCAATGAAATATTTTCTCCTGTGGTTCGACTAACAACAGTTCGAGTAGTTTTGGCAATGTGTGCTACATTGAACTTACATATAGAGCAGCAAGATATTAAAACAACTTTTCTTCATGGAAATCTTGAAGAAGAGATTTATATGCTCCAGCCTGAAGGTTTTGAAGAAGAAGAAAAGAAGAACTTGGTTTGCAGGGTAAACAAATCTCTGTACGGTCTAAAGCAGGCGCCGAAGTGTTGGTATAAGAGATTTGATTCCTTCATTATGTGCCTTGGATACAACAGACTTAATGCAGACCCTTGTGCTTATTTCAAGAGGTCTAGTGATAACGATTTTGTTATATTGTTGTTGTATGTGGATGACATGTTAGTTGCATGACCCAACAAAGATCATATTGAAGAATTAGAGGCATAATTGGCTAGGGAATTTGAAATGAAGGACTTGGGATCAGCAAACAAGATTCTAGGGATGCAAATTCACCGAGACAGAATAAATAGGAATATTTGACTTTCACAAAAGAATTATTTCAAGAAAATCTTGTCAAGATTCAACATGTAAGATTGTAAGCCAATTTCTACCCCTCTTCCTATTAACTTCAAATTATCCTCCAGTATGAGTCCTAGCAGTGAAGAAGAGAGTATGGAGATGTCTTGAGTACCGTATGCATCAGCAGTGGGAAGTTTAATGTTCGCTATGATATGCACAAGACCAGACATTGCACAAGCAGTGGGAGTGGTTAGTCGGTACATGGCGAATCCAGGAAAAGAGCATTGGAATACAGTAAAGATGATCCTAAGATACATCAAAGGGACCTCAAATGTTGCATTATATTATGGAGGATCAAATTTACTAATCAATGGGTATGTAGATTCTGACTATGCAGGGGATTTGGATAAAAGCAAATCTACTACAGGATATGTGTTTAAAGTTGCTGGTAGAGCTGTAAGCTGGGTTTCAAAATTGCAGTCAATTGTGGCTACATCCACAACAGAAGCAGAATATGTAGCAGCTACACAAGCCAATAAAGAAGCAATTTGGTTGAAGATGCTATTGGACGAGCTTGGGCACAATCAAGAGTATGTCTCTCTGACAGTCAAAGCGCCTTGCATCTAGAAAGGAATCCAACATTTCATTCAAGGAAAAAGCACATACGAGTTCAATACCATTTCATTCGTGAAAAGGTGGAAGAAGGGACGGTAGATATGCAGAAGATCCATACCAAAGACAACATAGCATATTTCATGACGAAGGCGATCAACGTTGATAAATTTATTTGGTGTCAATCCACTTGTGGCCTGTCAGAGACGTAAGCAACATGATGGTACAAGGTAGATAGAATGGTGTGAAGATATGATTGTTCCAATCAAATCTTCAAGTGGGAGATTGTTGAAAAGTCATCATCAAGTGGCCAAAATTAGTGGCCTAATTTTCCACCGAAAGGTGATTTGAAAATTAGAAATAATAATTCACCTAAAATGTTGAAAACAAGTGGAATGGAAAAATTAATTTTAGTCATTAAACTTTAGGGTATTTACAAGATTAATCCTTAAGCTTTAACTATAAATACCCTAACTCATTTAGCTTCAAAACCATCCCAAAGCATTCTAGCTTTCTTCCAATACTAGAGAAAATTCAGAGAGTTTCTTGAGAGTTGTTTTTTCCTTTTTTATCAAGAGAGAATTATCATTGTTTTCTCCTTGGTAGATCGAGAGAGGTTGTAATTCCTATTTTCTTATAGTGAAATTTTTCTACCGTTGCCCGTGGTTTTTACCCTAAATTATTTAGGGGTTTTCTACGTAAATTTTGTGTCTTCTTTATCTTTATTTTTTTTTCTCAAATTATCAATTGCGATTTTGCTTTATCTGATAGCCGTCTTCCGCAACATTTGAAGCAGTCTTAGTGAAATATCATTGGAAAGCAACCTACCTAAAATAGTTCAATTGATTTGAGGTTGCATATTTTAGATTAATAATGTAATTTGTAATCACTAATGAAACACTGAAAAATAATAGAATTGGTGCCAAGGCAATACTCATATCACTCTGATGAACATACACAAACACTATGTAACATATTCTGTGTCAAAATCTATATAAACAGTTAACACCTCAGATATGATCATGACTTGAGGGGGCAAAAGTACAAACACGGTATACACGAGTAGTTGGGTTTGTAAAAGCACCAGACTTGTTTTCTATAGGACCATTGTTGATATCAGATCGATTCTTAAACATGGAATTACAGTTCAAAACTTTACAACCATCAAATCCAACAAAGATACTTAACCGGAAATGGGTGTTTTGTTGTTATATTCAGCCAAATGGGTTTCCGCCACCAACAGAAGCGAAAGGCTGTGGGGTAGCAGGTGCTAACAATCTATCGGTATTTATAAAACCATACGATGCCTCACTGACTATGTCTCCAACCTGACGGCTGCAAAGCAACAAAGGGTAAAATGTTCCATAAAACCATTCTTGAGAGGCTGCATCTGGCAAGTCTAGAATATAAATCTCGGCAATCTTTTATCCCCGAGCTGACCTTTGTATCCCAAACTAAAAAGAAGTAATTCTAAAAGAAACCAAAAATGATTTACCTGGGTTGTTGCAAGTTACCAGGTAATTGAGCTCCTGAGTATGTCCCTGTATAGTTTTCTTTTTCTTTTCAGAAGTCAGCACGTTTTAAAGTAAAAAATGAAGTAAAAAACAAATAGAGGGGGAATCAAAATGGTTTACTTGGTGGCAATTCTGATGAATCAGTCGGTGATTGTGATGGCATCCCTGATGCGTAAGGTATAGATTGAGATGGCATCCATGCTGATTATGGAGTACCAAGGCTAGAAGTGCGCCGTAGGCCAGGATGAGGAGGGGCATTCGGTAAGGCACCTTGTAAGGAAGCCGTTGAAAAGGACTGCACCACAAGCAACATGATATAAAGAAGATTGCAAATAAATAGAAGAAAAATATGCAACTGTGATAGTTCCAAGGACGGATGATTGAATTTCCAAAAAGTGAGTAGGATGGGAGTGTAGCAATTCGATGAATTGATCATGCATCTTCAGAGTCAAATGAACACCCAGCTCTCCTCATAGGTTCAGCCAAACACAGTCAAAATAGCATCAATAAAATTAAGCTGCGTGACCAAGTCAGTCTGGCAGAAGCAACGAAATAATTCAAAAGAAGTAAATAACGTACTGTTTGAGTTTGGGGTTGAGGTACTTCACCGCCAAGATCAAATGGGTTTATCAACCTAGTTGACTGTGGAAAAGTAGATGTTGGCTGTAGGAACAAAATTGTGGAGAATTACAAGTCATTCATCAAATAACGAGACATGCAATTTAGTGAGAAAGAATGAACTTGTGAACCTAATTTTCCAGAAATGTAACAGTACCACTGCAGAATTATATTGCATAGGGAACCCCATGCCACGTGGTGAAGCGGTTTGCCATCCTGGTGAAGCTGCAGGATAGGTTGCAGTAAATAGATCCTGCAAAAAATAGGAGGCTAAAACAATAATCTCACAACAAAAAACTACATGATACACAATGTACAATATCCAATGTCTAAAAAGAAATTACCGCAGGTAGTTCATGCCTTCCACTTGCTTTTGCTTCTGTAGGGGGATGCTGTGGTGAAACAGCAGACGTGACATCCTGGAAAGGTTTCGAGACAGCTTGAGGATTTTGTGCAACTGATGCACTCAAAGGCCCCTGCATATGCTGGGATGGAGCAAAATTCTATATATGCCAAAAATATGAGATTAAAATAGGTGAATGAGGAGTCAATTATCTATAAAATACTAAATATATAAGTAGTGGTGGATCCATAAATACTTTTTAGAGTAGGCACATATATATTAAAAACAAAATTTTTGTAAAAGGTGGACACAAATAAAATTTTAGGTTGACACAATCAATAAAATAAGTAACTAGCCGAAGAAAAATCAAATTTTTGGGTGGGACTTGCCCATCCTAAGATAGGCGTGGATCCGACACAATAAGAACACAAGAAAATAAAAACCTGATTGATTGAAGGTTCATCAACATTGGCATAAATTGTTGGCTGTTGGACTGACTGCCAGCTGAAGAGAAAAAATGAGTCTGTTGGTGCTGCATATTAGGCCATTTTTCAGCATTGTCATCACCAAGATGGAAATCACTGCTGCTGATAGGCATTGTAGGCTTTAATCAAGAAGCAGCTGTCAGAGCATCAGTAGGAGGTAATGTTGAGAAATTGCTACCTGGTGCAGATGCAGGGGGACAAGCTCCAAAGGGCAATGTTAGTATCTGCCCTGTGAATGCAACATTGGACGGTGATAAATTCACATTGGCCACAGGAGCAGGTACCTGACCAGCGACACTGCTAGATACTCCATACAGATTACCAGGTACAGATGCTGGAACTGACAACTGAGAAAGAACAGCATCCAGGTTGTTCACATTATGAGCCGGAGAAACATTTCTCTGAGGGGGAAGATCAACAGAGGCCCAGTTGTTGTCATTGGTAAAAGCCGGGGGTTGCACAATTGTTTTCGTTGCGGTAGTTTGTTGTGTCTGAGTAACAGTAGGAGCTACCGGAGGTTCAGGATCAGCATCAAAATCAATTAGGCTAAAAGTTGTGTCCAACTTGGCTTCTACTAGATTTCCACCGAAGATCTTAAGCTGCTAGAAGATGCAGATCTCTGCTAGAAGAAATCCTACAATAAGTCCATTTCCTTTTCCTTTTAACCGCATAAAAATGAGGGGGGGTGGAAATACAGGAAGACGATCCACTTTCTTCATGCAAAAATGAAATAAGAAAAGAATGTTAATAAATGATTAAAGTTCTAGACTATTGAGTTTTGAACGTTCATTTATTTGGTGACAGTGGGACACCCGTGTTATATTCTGTTGTACATAAATTCATCATTAGCATTACAAAATATCAATCTCTATAGCTACCATAAGTCACGTCCAGCAAAGCTACCAAGTGGTTCCAATAAAAGGTTTTCAACTAATGAAAGTAAGAAAGCATAGAGGGATTCCTGATAGGATGAGAGTCCAACAAAAAGTATGATAAATACTCTGAATAAATTATAGAAAGAAAGGAGAAAATAGTAAAATTTAAAAGGAATTAGAACTTTGACAAGTGGATAATTGTGAAGAAAACATCCAACTAACACAACAGACTTCTTCAATTATTTCAGAGGGGCATAATATTAAGACATAAATAAATTACTTTTATGTGAGACGAGAAGAAAAGCCTATAGCTGGACAATATCAGCAGAAATAAACAAAGAAAAGATATGTGAACAAGCAAATTAAACCACAACAAGATCAGAACATTAAACTATTGTTTCCTAGCACACAGTAGAAACTACCTATGTCCGACGGCCATCGACAGCTCTGCCTCCATTTGCTTTTGGAGGTTCACTTACACGAAGGGGTATCACGTTCTCACCCAAAATTTCTCTAACAGGACGAACTATTGGGGGATTCAATGACTCTTTTGGACGCTCAGGTGACCTCCATTCTAATTTTGAATCTTTGTCAGAAACTATGCGATCTTCAGCTTTTCTCTCATTACGAAACCTATCTTCCCGGCGCCAATCATTGACAACCTCAGGGCGAGCAGGACTTCTTCTGTAATCACCATATTGTCGACTTTCTTGATCATATCCAGGACGTCTCCTTTCATCAGATCCATATCTAGAATTTCTATCATCATTTCTTCCCCCTGGACTGGACCTATCACTGTAACGGCGATCATAGGTATCTTCATTTGGTGGACTTCTGGACCCTCCCTGATATCCATCTATCCTCTTATTCTCATAGAAGTCTTCCTTGTCATCCTACATAATGCACAATTCAGATAATCGTTACACAGCACTCTTCAGCTGCTGTTTCAGTAATATCAATCTAAAACTCCCTCTTAAGGAAGCAGGGACATAACATATTATAGTGTCACCATTTGTCATATCGTATCTCACAACTGCGTAACTCATTGACAATCAATGGAACATAGTAATAGGGAACTGAATCTTACCATCTTTCCTCGAGGAGGCTTGTCATAGTTTCTCTCACCACTTCTATCCACGTAGACATTGAAGATACTAAATTTTTTTTATCCATATTATTATTATTAATATTATTATTATCCTTATTATTATTAATATTATTATTATCATTATTATTATTATTATTATTATTATTATTATTAATTATATTAAATATATTAAATACATAATAATAATTACAGACCCATTACATTTGGACCGGCCCAGTTACAAACCAACCAGAACCGGTCCAGATCCAACCAGAAACCCTAAATATTTGGGTTTCCAGTTAGGGTTTCCTAACCCTAATCTAACCAGCCGCCTCAGCTCATAGCCGTTGGATCTGGCAAGATCCAACGGTCCAGATGGCTCCAGAGAGGAACCCTAGGGTTTGATACCCTAGGGCCACGCGGCGCCGCCCCAGCTTCCACGCGGCTGCCGACAGTCTTCTCGCCGCCACGCCGCTGCCACGTCCCAACCGAAGACTCCAGAAGATAAAATGGCAGCCGTCCACGCCATGGCTACTCGGTGAGTCACCACTGGTAGTCCGGTGACTCACCGAGAGCCCTTCTTCGGACCGGTCCGACGGCTACAACGGTGGTGGCTATAAAAGCCACCACCCCACCTGCGAAGAAAAAAAGAAAGGGACAGAAAAACAGAGAGAAAAAACAGAGAACGGAAAAGAAAAAAACAAACACACAGAAAAAGAAAAAAAATACTAACCAACGATCTCAGCCAAATATCCCATAAGCAGAAACAAAAAAAGAAGGAAAAAGGAAGAAGAGAACTTACCGAGGAAGCTCCGACTACCAGATCTCATCGGAACCTTCGAAACAACGAAGGTACTTTTGTAGATTTGCTCCGATTGGGAGCCTTTTAGGAAGAAATAACACCGGAACCGTCCTTAGGACGGTCCGATCTATATATTAGTGTAAAAATCTTTTTTTCCGGCCACCGGATGCGGTGGCCGGCGGTGATGGTCACGGCGGCAGACGGTTGCCGTCCGGTGACCGGCTTCCCTCCGATGAGGGAAGCTAGAGAGAGGGCAGAGAGAAATTTGTTCTCTCTCAGTTAGAGAGAACAGAAATGATGAAATGAAGCTGGCCCTTCGGGCCAGCCGGTTTTTGGACATATATAGTCCTTCCCGAACGACGTCGTTTCGGGAAGGACTATGCGCGTAATTATGAAATAGTTAAACCCCGTCCGCAGTCCTTCGTATTTGTAAATTTTACATTTTGGTCACTAAACTGAATTTATAATAATTTTAATTCAGTATTTGAATTTTAATTTTATTCATTTTAGTCCTTTTTATTAAAAATATGTTTAGGATAAATAACAGATTTAATCCCTTAATTTTAATAAATAAAGTTTTCATCCCTAGTTCATATTTTTAATTAATTTTGTTATAAAATTTAAATTTTAAATAAATTCATTTTGGTCATTAAATTATTAAAATTAGAAAATAAAATATTTAATCCCTATAATTTCAATTAATTAGGAATTAGATTTAGTTTTATTTTATTCATAATTTAGTTATTTATTTATATGTTTTCATTTTATTGCTTAAAATATATTGTTTTAGTGATATTTTTATTTTTTATACTATTAAATATTTTTATATATATTCATAAATATACATATAATAAATATTTTTTTAATATTTGTTTTTAATATCGAAGAAAAGGACAGTCTTAATACAACTGGATGTCCTATTCTGATATTTTATAATTAAAAAGTAAACAATATTATTTAAATCAATATTTATCAATGTCAAAGAAAAGAGCTGTCTTGAGGCACCTAGAAGTTCTTTTCGGATATTTTTAAATAAATAAATATTTTTTATATAATTTTGAAATAATAAGATTATAAATTAAATATATTTTTGAATTTTTAAATTTTAATAATAGAGACAATTTATAATTAAAAAGTACCAATTTTGGGCGTTGTAGGGGTGCTAATCCTTCCCTAAACGTAACCGACCACGAATCCCTTTTTATTATTAAAAAGAACGAATTTTTGGTTATAAAACGCAGATCAGTGCATCTTTTAAATAATGTTTTCTTAAAAAAAAAATTTTAAAAGATAATTTTTAGGTATTCGACCTACCTGACCCAAAAGGCCGATGGCGACTCTCAAATTATTTTCAAAATTATTTATTCACATCAATTTCCCCGCCAAAATTTAATATTTCGTGCCCGGACGAAAACCGGTTACGACAGCTTGGCGACTCTGCTGGGGACTGGTCAAACTTTTAAAAATTTAATTATAAATTGTCTCTATTAACTAAAAATTAAAAATTCATATATTTAATTTTTAATTCTTTCTTTTCAAATTTTTTATGTATTTATTATTTTTATAATATTTATATGTTTTATTTGCAAGTATTTTATTTTATTAGTTATTTTGTCAGAGGTATCAACATTTCTCCTCACACACAACACTTGCATTGCATAACATAAAGCTCTATAATTGAGTTGTCCCTTTTAAGTGGGAGTGAAAGCGACGTCTTCGTGAGAATTTATTCTCCGTGTCAGACCTAGCAAGTAACTTCCGGGGTTCATATGCTCTCTGTCTTCGTGAGAATTTATTCTCCGTGTCAGGCATAGAGAAATGTATCCCCTCGAATTGAACTCGATCCACTTTAGTCTGTAATGAACTAGGATTGAGGGTTAGCAGCCCAAGGGGGCACTAACAAGGACAATTCGGGTACCTTTATTCCTAGATCTGAAACCTTGCATATAAAAAACCTTAGAAACTCTTCTGATCAGAAGTCATGCCGAAATTTTGTCCAAAATAGGTGTACACACAGGAGAAATGAATTCTGTCTTTCCTGTTAATTTATTTATTGTTTAAATTACATGTTTATTTAAATTATTTAAATTCAGAAGAGCATGTTTAAATAAAGAATACTTATGTTATTATTAAATTCCTTTATTATGTAAACTAATTTATTTTCTTTTTGTGTGTTATTTATTTTTCTGTTTGCATTGCATCATACAGGATAAAAGACATTGATCCTTGTGTTAATTGTCTCATTGGAAAGCCTTCATCTATGGATAAAAAGTGTTCAAGTCAAGTAATTCTAAACTCAGAAGTAAGACAGTGGGCTGAGGATTTACAAAGACAAGAAGGAGACAGTTTGCAGGATGATTATGTATCTGACTTGGCCAGTTATGCTTCAGTTTCACTAAAAAGAAATGATATGCAAGATTTGCGAAGCATTTGGGAAAGTTGGGATTCAAACAAAAAATTGCAGTTTTATCAGACTTACGGAGACATCCCATATTTGCTCTATGTTGAAGTTGATGATGAATTACTCAGAGCCCTAGTTCAATTCTGGAATCCAGGGTACAATTGCTTCACTTTCAATAAGGAGGACTTGGTCCCTACTATTGAAGAATATACAACTTTGTTACATCTTGAAGGTGCTTTGGAGAATCGAATATATTCAAAGTCAATTAAAACTCAACCTTTTCGAGTTAAGTTAGCAAAGATTGCCGGGGTACGAGAAGAATGGGTAGCAGCCCGTACAAAACAAAAAGGCGAAAGTGAAGGCATTGCTTGGACCAACATCAGAGAGCTTATTCAGAGTCATCCAGACGCTAAAGTACGATTTGATCTATTTGCTCTGGGTATATATGGTATGGTCATTTTCCCAAGAGTATTGGGATATATTGAAGCTGCAGTGGTAGACTTGTGTGAACAGCTACCGAAGAAGATTAATCCCGTTTCTGCAATCCTAGCAGAGACCTTCAGATCGTTAAATGCTTGCAGAAGATTAGGAGGTGGACGATTCTCAGGGTGTACCCAGTTGTTATATGTTTGGATCCGTAGTCATTTCTGGAGGACGGAAAAGGTTTCATACCGACGCTTCAATACGGATTATTCACCATTAAAGGAATTTCTGGAGCAGGAATGGCCTAAAGAAATTAAGAAAGATATGTGGATTAATGCCTTTCGAAATCTGCAAAGCAATGACGTTGTTTGGCGAGCCCCGTGGCAAATACATTGTTTCCTACAGGCATCTAAATACCCAGAATGGGTAGCCAACATTGTTCCCGTACCAAAGAAGAATGGGAAAGTTCGAATGTGTGTGGATTACAGAGATCTCAACAAAGCTAGTCCGAAAGATAGCTTTCCATTACCCCACATTGACACATTGGTGGACAATACTGCAGGGCACGCATGGTTTTCATTTATGGATGGCTTTTCAGGATATAATCAGATAAAAATGAATCCTGAAGACATGGAAAAGACGACATTTATAACCATGTGGGGCACATTCTGTTATAAAGTGATGCCATTTGGATTAAAAAATGCAGGGGCAACATATCAAAGAGCCATGGTAACTTTGTTTCATGACATGATGCACAAAGAGATTGAAGTATATGTAGATGACATGATTGCCAAATCCAGAACGGAAGAAGAACATATTCAAAATTTGAGGAAGCTTTTCCAGAGATTGAGGAAGTATCAATTAAAGCTCAACCCTGCAAAATGCACTTTTGGGGTAACTTTTGGAAAACTTTTGGGATTTGTGGTCAGCAAAAAAGGAATTGAGATTGATCCAGATAAAGTAAAAGCAATTCAAGATCTTCCACCACCCAACACAAAAAAAGAAGTTCGAGGCTTTTTGGGGAGATTAAATTATATATCTCGGTTCATTTCTCAACTGACTGACAAATGTGATCCAGTGTTCAAATTACTTCGAAAGAACAATCCTGAAGTCTGGAATAAAGAATGTCAAGAAACTTTGGATATTATTAAGAAATACTTATCCAATGCCCCAATTTTAGTATCACCAATGCCTGATAGACCATTAATTCTCTACTTGACGGTTTTCGAAAATTCGATGGGATGTGTACTAGGACAGCATGATGAATCAGGAAGGAAAGAAAAAGCTATTTATTATCTGAGCAAGAAATTTACTGATTGTGAAGTTCGATATCCACCAATACAAAAATTATGTTGTGCTCTAGTGTGGACTACTCGAAGACTCAGACAATATATGTTATACCATACTACTTGGTTGATATCAAAACTTGATCCTTTGAAAT